TATTCTTTTCCATTCTGGTTTATCATTGCATAGTGAATACAGTTCCCTGTGCTATACAATAGGACCTTGTTTACTCAACAACTCTTTCTGATGCAAAGAGTACACAGTATATGGTTATTTTTATGACTGAATTGGTGTGCTACTTCTTAAAAGAAGGGAAAGGCCAAGGTTTATCCTTTAGAAGATACCTTCCATAATATAATATTTTCCATCATGAAGAAATATAATTACTTGTGCATAAATTTGCATTCTCACTTTCTTCAGGTCTTTACCTATTATTCTAATATACTTTTTCTATGAATATGGATTTTTTTCTATTGTATTATATGGGTTCTTAAAATCTACCTCAAATTTTGGTGGAACATAAGAGATTGTAGAAATACACACACTGGTATGAAGGAGTGAATAGTGGAAAAATGGCACATTAACAAAAGGGGAAACAGGAACATTTAAGACAACATTCCCCCTTCACTCCTTTTCAGCAGAATATATATAAACACATTCACAAAATTCATGGTCATAAGGAACGCAAGGCTATGGAAAAGACAAAGCCAAACAGAAAATGATAAACTCTCCTCTGCATAAAAGAGGAGATGCATTTACATTTTTAGAGAGGAGATATATAATGCTGGTAAGATAGAAAATACAGAATAATGAAGACAGAAGACAACATAAATGCGAGATAACAACAAAGCATATATGCTTAAAACAATTTTATAACATCCAGAGAAGCTTCTCCTTAAGACTGCTTCCCAATCAATCTAGGAAAATAGAAATGTTTTGTAGAATGGGTGATTATTCCACATGATCTGGAAGTTATCTCTCTGAGTATTCAAAGCTTTGGCTTTTTGCTTTCCAAGAGCCTACAATCCCTGGTGAGTTAAAAATCAACCAAATCAACCAACTAACCAAGAAAAAACAAGCAAGCTGATTATCCTGAACTGAATCACAAATGGAAATCTTTTCTGCCTAGGGCATCTTGAGCTCCTCCCTAGAAAATGACTCTACAGTAAGTTAGCTATTTAAAAACAAATTCAACAGTTGGTCTCAATTTCTGGTAGTGATCAAATTATTGCCTTGCTATCAATTCACTTTGTTGCTGAAAATCTTTTCAAGTCAAATTTGTAATACTAAAAAGAGAAAAAGAAAGGGTAGAGAAATTGTCTTCAAGTAAATGTTCAAAATACTAAAGAAAAACGAGGAACAATAACAGACCTCCAATCCTAAATCCTTTCATGTGATCCTTTTTTATTTAGGAAACCAAGATAATTGAATAAAGATGTTTCTTTTGCTAAGACCTATCCAAAGACAAAATAGACCAAAGACCTTTTAAATGTACTTTATATTTAAGCCATCTCTATCTCATTCTGGGTGGGACTGCCAAATTTTAAAACAAGATTATTTTCGTATTACATTCAGTATTTCTGCATGCATACTGGTAAAGAGAAGATAAACTTTACAGGAAAAGTAGCAGCAAAACTGTCATTTCATCCCATTTACTCACAATCAAACTTCTAAAGGGCATCGATAACTGCTTAGGAAAAGGATTATGAAACAAAACCAGATATTTCTTTTATTCATATAATCAAATTTCAAATTTCTACTCTTATCATTATAGCTTATTGCCACGGTTACAACTTAAATGCCTTAAGAATGCCTGAAAAGTAGGCATATTTAAGAAAACACACAAGTAACATTAATGTAGTTAAAATAATAGAGTGAAGTAAATAGCATTTGCGTTTGCTGTGTTTGAAGGTTATGTTTCCCTGAAGAAGGAAAAAGGGTAAGTAAATGTAATACCTCCATGTTGGAATATGAACTTGTGCAGGAGTATAGTCTGATTTAAGTAAGGGATGAAGTATAGTTATCAGGTGTGAATTATGAATGTGCATGTGGTGAAGACAGATGAATTACTGAAGGTGTATTTCCCTAAACACTAAAGTATTTGGTGAGCTATTTGGCATGTGTATAAAAATAAGAGATTATACAATATTTATATATTAAATGAAACATAAATGTAATGTTTTACAAATTATCTATAATATTCTATCTATCTCTATTTTATGCATTAGTAAATCATGAAGAAAGAAAGTGAAGTCGCTCGGTCGTGTCCGACTCTTTGCGACCCTGTGGACTGCAGCCTACCAGGCTCCTCCGTCCATGGGATTCTCCAGGCAAGAACACTGGAGTGGGTTGCCATTTCCTTCTCCAGGGGATCTTTCCAACCCAGGAATTGAACCTGGGTCTCTGGCATTGCAGACAGATGCTTTACCCTCTGAGCCACCAGGAAGGAGGTGGTCAAATGATTGAAACTGAGTGAACACACTGGTGGGGAGGAGAGGCAGAAAGGATGCTAAGGGATGGTCATTCCCTATCTGGTGTCTTCATAATCTAAGTTCATTCTCTTTATGAGTACATCAATACGATTACACACTGTGCCTGCCTGGTTTTGGTAGTTAGAAATCTATAACTGCTTCCTCCAGTTCACTTCAGCCAGGATGTTTCTCCGGGTCTACTTTAGGCAGCACTGCTGGGAAGGCTGTATCTCCCTTGTGGGTCCAGCTAATGCTGAAGACTGCCTTGCTCTACCTCCCACTACTGCTACAATTTGGTGGCAACCCACGCAGCCCTTGGTCCCTACAGTCCTAGACATGGCAGCAGCTTCCAGGAACAGTTACTCCTTTGGGTGACTGGGCCCTGACTGATACAGCTATTTTTCTTGGGCTGTGAAGAACTTCCCCCTAACAAATGCTAACATTCCAAGAGAAAGGGGCAATGACAGGATATTGAAATATTTTGTAGCTAGAAATATAAACGATGACACTAATGAGGGAATATGAGAGGACTGACCTCATATACCAAAAGGGAGGGAGAATGAATACAACTCTTCTAGGAAAACTACTTGGTTAGACATCTAAAAAGCCTTGAAAATGTTCATATACTTTGAGTAGTTTTCCTCCTTGGGAAAACCTAGCCTAAAAGGTAAATCAAAGCTGCAGGTATAATTTTATACACAAGGATGTTTGCCATAACATTATTTATACCCATGAAAAACAGCTGAATGTCCAAAAACAGAGCTATGGGTAAATACGGTATATACTTGTAGTTTTTCTTTAAAGAATTCCCCTCCCCGATTTTAAGTGTATAGAGCTATATATCTCCACTAGACCTGAAACACTTAAGAGGGCAAGGATATCTGTTTTAAACAGTGACAACTATGTGTGAACCAAGTAGGCTCTCAAGGAATGTTTTTGGAATAAATTAATGATGCCGTATTAAACATGAACTTACAGGAGAATTTTATATTAAATGGTAGAGTTCTGCCATAGCTAAGTAGCAAATGCACTCTATATTTTTCTTTAAACTGAAATCTTCATTTCTCTTTTTAACAGTTCACAGCACTGCCAGGTCTCCTGAGGAATGTTTAAATCGAATGACTTTTTGCTCAAAGGATTTCCAGTGGCTCCCCATGACCTGTAGGAAGTTCAAAGTCCCTGGTGTTTACAGATCTCTATAATTTGGCCCAATGTGGTCTTTGCACGTCTTATCATCTCCCAAACCAGTTTTAAATGTTCCCATGAGACATTTTTGTCATCTCTGCTGCTGTGACAATGACAATACTCTCTCCACAGCTGGGCTGCCAGTCAAGCCCCAGGCTCCAGGCTCACCCCTGCAAAGTTATCTCACAAATGGATTGTCTATTTGATGACAATGTTTCCTAAATAATACTTACTTTGCAGTTAACCGCATATTATTTCATGCATGTCTTTCCTACTATTAAATTGCTGTTTGTAAGTCTTACTGTTAAGTAGATTTTCACATGTCTCTTCTTCATCTTTGTGCTCAGTAGCTTGGTCATGTCCAGCTCTTTGAGACCCCATGGACTGCAGCCTGCCAGGCTCCTCCTTCTGTCCATGGGATTTCTTTTTTTTTTTTTTTTTTTGTCCATGGGATTTCTCAGGCAAGAATACTGGAGTGAGTTGCCAACCCAGGGATCAAACCTGTGTCTTGTGCATCTCCTGCATTGAAGGTGGATTCTTTACAACTGTGCCACCTGCTAAGTTTCCATACTACATGTCATCTATGCTTTGAATAAAACACTACATTTCTTGGGACTAGTTCCTTTAGAAAATAGTAAAAGAGCCTTGTATACACTATAAATAACACCAGAATCCTGGTATCAGGTTCAGATAAACTCAGATACCAGCCATTTAGGGATTTGAGTTTTACTGAATTCAAACTTTGTTTAAAAACTGTCAAAGTATTTGAATATCAAGGCCTAGTCTAGCATATAAGTTGCTGGCACTGTCCCTCACATTATAAGCTTCATGAGAGGCAAGGGGCATGTGTGTGTGGAGTCCATCACTATCTAACCAGCAGTGTGTATTGTATATGGTTCATGATGTGGCTGCTCAGTAAACATTTAGTGAGTGAAGACATCAAACATCTGTGAAAGTGGGAGACACTCTCCTTAATGTAATTCATCCTTTATATGAGGTGAACTTAAGGTAAAAAGAACATATAGACTACATTAGAATCTTCCAGGCTACTTTAGAAGCTATCAGGTAGTCCACATTTGAGTACAAAAAAATGAACATTTCAGGCAACTCTTCTCTTTTAATATGAAAAAAAACTGTGAAAGGAAAGACTTTGATTTAGATAAGTGATTAGCCAACTTTCCAAGATTATACAAAAACCTGTGTGTGAGGGCATCATTGTATTTCTTTATGATAAAAAATTCAAATATTGAATTGACATTAAAAATATTGATGCTCAATCCTTTAATTTCTTTACAAATGACATATATAAATCTATTCAAACATGTTAAAAAATTAAGCATATTAAGAAGTACTACCTTTAAACAAAGTAGCTCAATATTGTCACTATTAAAATTTTGGCTGGACTGATCTCATCAAGAGACAGTAAATTTAAATTTAGAGAGCAGACTTTGCTTGGGCAAAACGTAAGAAAGATTTTTTTATATGATTAAAAACTCATACCTGTTGATCTCCAAGGAAATGACTTCTCAGTTGAGCTAGAGAAAAAGAAGGAAAAAAAAATGGAACATTTTTTACTTCTTTTGTTGTAAACTTTAACTGTGGATCTGTTTTGTACATAAACATTTAATTTTCACATTTAATTATATAAAAGTATATCAAAACCTTAAACAAAATTTAAAGTGACTGTTCTAAACTAATTTTAGAGAGTATTTAACCCTGTATGTCAATCTGGGACAAATTTGTATTTCTTAGAACTTAAGGCAAATTATAAAAAGACATATGATTCTCCTTGGATAAGACAAATATAATAGCACAGCTAACTGTGACCTTCACAGTACTTATATGAGGGCCTATGCTGCTTTATGTGGAATAATTTATGCGAAAACTACATATAAAACAACATATATACCATACACTGTACGACATATACATTAAAAAGAACCAAAAAGGTTGTTATTAAGTTTATTTATTTTACTTATTTTCAAGAAAGCCTTAGATGCTGGAATAGACATATAAGTTAATGGGGTCAGATTATCGAATGTTACCTTATAAAATTTAAATATCATAAATCTTTATATCAAATCACAAAGTTTTACAGATTAGGGGTAAATTTTAACTATATATTTTTCTTAGTTTATAGAGTGCTATGCTCAGTTGCGTCCAAGTCTCTGCAACCCCATTACTATAGTCCGCCAGGCTCCTCGGTCAATGGGATTCTCCAGCAAGAATACTGGAGTGGGTTGCCATGTCCTCCTCCAGAGGATCTTTACCACCTAGGGATAGAACCTGCATCTCCTGTGTCTCCTGCATTGGCAGGTGGATTATTTACCACTGAGGCACCTGGGAAGCCTGGTTTATAGAGTACCAATTTTAAAAGTTAGTGCATAAAAACATATCTGAGCCTCCCTGTCCACCCTCTCCCTTAAAATAATACAGGAAAGCATGGTGCTCAGGGGACAGTGTAGCAGAACAAAGCAATAAGAGAGGCTGAATTATTAGGCATTCATTAAACGTTAAAGTACCTCACATACATTATCTCCTGTATACTGTTCACAACAACCTAATGAAGAGGTACCTTATTATCTTTATTTCACAGATTAAAAAACTGGACAAAGTCTTATACCATTAGTAAATGGAAGAATTGGGATTTAAACCAAGGATGGTTTGATTTCAAAGCCAGGGCTTCTTACCACTGTGCTATATAGTATAACAGCTTGTGATCCCATTTTTGTATTAAACACACACACATGCATACATAGACACACACAATATGCCTAAGGAGTGTAGAAAAATAAAAATCAAAGTGCTAGCGGTTTTTTCTGTGGGTTACAACTAAAAGGATTTCTTTCTTTTTAAACATTTGTACTTTAGAAACCAGAAACAAATACATATTGAAGTATTTTGGAAGTGTTTATTAAATTTAAGGAAAAGGTACATGACTTTGCACTTAAGGAAACTCTAAAATAAAGAAAAGAATAATACTTTCAGAGCTGTAGTTGTAAGATTTTAAGTCCATGTTAGTCCCTTGGTATTTCCCCCAAGTCATTAAGTGGCTAATGAAACTTGCTGGTTAAAAACTCTAGATTCAGTAAGCACTCCCCAAGGTTCAATTTTGCCTGTGATCTGCGAGCAGCTCACATTTCAGGACCTTGAACTAGCTGTGACCAGGAAGACATGCTCCCAATGAACAGAGTCAGTTAATGCTCATCTTCAGCACTCCGATCATGATCCTCTACCTGATGTACTCCTAATTTCAAAAGGGACTGATGGGAAGAAAAAACAGATGAAAATTTGGTAAAATATCAATAAATGGCATATTTGTCTTGCTCCTGAAGATATTACTGCATTTTCAAAAGTGGTTTACAAAACTGAATTCCAATTCTCTTGAATACTATCATTTAATCCTATTATCTAAACTAGCTTTCTAAGCACTAAAGTTGCTATTACCCAACTGTGTTTCTATCAACATATTCACATTTTTTGTCAATATTAAAATCAAATTACCAACCAGAAATGTTTAATATAACTCAGGTGTCTTGGGAGTGGTGAACTCTATTATCTTCTGGTTGAAATTTATATAAACCTTAATGAAATATCTTTACAAGTTTTTATTTTTGAAATTTTAGATCATAGATTATATGTCATCTTAACTGCTCAAACTGGGCAAGGGTTGTGGCTGCTTTCGGCATCTCTTTACGTCAAGTGCACTGCACATTGCCTGGCACACAGATGTTTAATATGTGTGTGTGTATGTGTGCTCAAGTTGTGTCCAAATCTTTGCAAGCCCCTCTACTGTAGCCTGACAGACACCTCCATCCATGGAATTTTCCAGGCAAGAACACTGGAGTGGGTTGCCATTTCCTACTCCAGGGGATCTTCCCGACCCAGGGATCGAACCCTAGTGTCTTCTGCTTCTTGCTCTGGCAGGTGGATTCCTTACCACTGTACCATCTGGGAAGCCCCTAATAAATACGGCTGTAACACAAATTGTGAAAAAGTATTAATAATACTGACTTCTTCATTGTTCTGAGGGATTAGGTTTATGTAAATTATTACTATTTTGTTCAAAAGCTGGTTTGAAACTCAACATTAGAAAAAACTAAAATCATGGCATCCAGTCCCATCACATCATGGCAAATAGAAAGGGGAAAAGTGGAAGCAGTGATAGATTTTATTTTCCTGGGCTCCAAAATCACTGTGGACAGTGACTATAGCCAAGAAATTAAAAGATGCTTGCCTCTTGGAAGGAAAGCTATGAAAAACCCAGATGGCATATTAAAAAGTAGAGACATCACTTTGCTCACAAAGGTGCATCTAGTCAAAGCTATGGTTTTTCCACTAGTTATGTAGGGAAGTGAGAGTTGGACCATAAGGAAGACTGAGCGCCAAAGAATTGATGCTTTCAAATTGTGGTGCTGGAAAAGACTCAGAGAACAGAGGAGCCTGGTGTGCTGCAGTCCACGGGGTTGCAAAGAGTCAAACATGACTTAGCAACTGAACAACACTTTGTTCAAACAGGTCAAATTATTCACCCCTACTCTAGGTAGGAAGTTCCAGTAGTTTCATTGTGTAACAAGCAGGCAAGCAGCATTTCTGGTGCTGAAAAGACTTTTGGTCATCAAAATACAGTAAGGCATTCCAGTCCTAAATATTCATTGGAAGGACCGAGGCTGAAGCGGAAACTCCAATACTTTGGCTACCTGATGTGAAGGACTGACTCATTTGAAAAGACCCTGATGCTGGGAAAGATTGAAGGCAGGAGGAGAAGGGGACGACAAAGGATGAGATGGTTGGATGGCATCACTTGACTTGACGGACATGAGTTTGAGGTTGAGCAAGTTCTGGGAGTGGGTGATGAACAGAGAGGTCTGGCTTGCTGCATTCCATGGGATCACAGAGTCAGACACAACTGAGTGACATGAACTGAACTGAGGTGAAGGCATGGAGAAGTCTGAGTTAAAATTACTTTTTCCCCTATCGTATTCTAGACAAACAATAAGAAAAAAAAAATCTCAGGAAAATAAGTTAATATTGAAGGTTAAAAATAAAGAATTCCATGGTATATTTTGAAGACTATATATTCAGCCCAATTACTTTCACACTAATTCCACAATCCTGGTCATTATATGTTATTCAGAACAGTCTATTTCTTTCTGAATCACCACTCCGGGATTCAGGGATCAGGCAGTAAATACATGAAGTTGTGAAATGCTGTTTCAAGTCACTTTTATTGGAACAATAAAACGAGAGGCAGCTCCACATGACACATAGGTGTATTCCTTCCTCCCTCTCTCCCTCTAGCAATCTATTCCAAAAAAAATTTCCCCAACTTTTATTGACAACATGTCTCAAAGCATTGTGGCCACGGATGACTCCATTCCATTCCCTTTCACTTCTCATCTGAATATGCCAAGAACCTCCTCTGCAGTGTGAAAACATTTTGAAATACAAGAATGGAATCATCCATGACAACTTTCTTTCAGTGGGAAGATGCATTCACAATTTCTAACAACTTAATTATCAACAACCCTCTAGAATGAAATCCATTCACAAGTTTGGGACTGTTTGGTTAGACAGCAAACTACAGTTAAAAGCAAAATCATCAGCAAATTAATAAATCAAGGCAATTCATTTTAATGAGAAAAAAAATCTTAGTTTTAAGAAAGACACATAACTTCATCACAGTATGGATGAGAAAATTCAATAAATCACTATAAAATTCTGTGCACTTAAGAAATTATGTATTTTTTTCATTCACAGACATAAATGAAGCCCAAAATACCTCTGTTGAATATTTACTGCAGTCTTTCAGTTCAGTTCAGTTGCTCAATTGTATCCAACTCTCTGCGACCCATGGACTGTAGCTCACTAGGCCTCCATCACCAACTCTCAGAGCTTGCTCAAACTCATGTCTGTCAACTCGGTGATACCATCCAACCATCTCATCCTTTGCCGTCCCCTTCTCCTCCTGCCTTCAGTCTTTCCCAGCATCAGAGTCTTTTCAAAAGAGTCAGTTCTTCCTATCAGGTGGCCAAAGTATTGGAGTTTCAGCTTCAACATCAGTCTTTCCAATGAATATTCAGGACTGATTTCCCTTAGGATGGACTGGTTGGATCTCCTTGCAGTCCAAGGGACTCTCAAGAGTCTTCTCCAACACCACAGTTCAAAAGCATCAATTCTTCAGCGCTCAGCCTTCTTTATGGTCCAGTTCTCACATACATACATGACTGGAAAAACCATAACTTTGACTAGATGGACCTTTGTTGCTAAAGTAATGTCTCTCCTTTTTAATATGTCATCTAGGTTGGTCACAGGTTTCCTTCCAAGGAGCAAGTGTCTTTTAATTTCGTGGCTGAAGTCACCATCTGTTGTGATTTTGGAGCCCAGAAAATAAAGTCTCTCACTGTTTGCAATATTTCCCCATCTATTTGCCATGAAGTGATGGGACTGGATGCCATGATCTTAGTTTTCAGAATGTTGAGTTTTAAGTCACCTTTTTAATTCTCCTCTTTGCCTTCATCTAGACGCTCTTTAG